CACACACCTTCCACAACCCTTGCCGCACCACCTAACTTCCCTAAATCCATCCCCAACCCAAAATAACATCCACAATCATCACACACCACCTCTGCCGCAGCAAGGAGAAGAAGAAAGAGGAGCCTAGACGCGCAGAAATTCAAGTGGATTCGTTGGGCGTTCTAGGTGTAATCAATCCTTTGTTCGTTATGTTTAAATTCAATTTTATTTCTCTTTCTGTGAACATGAGAGACTAAATCCCTAGTTAGCTAGGGGGTGATTCGAAACCATGTTTATGCTTGCAATATGAATTGATTACCTTTGGTTGGAATTTCATGAGTTGTGGATTCAATTTGTTTAACTGTTTGATTGATAACTTATTTATGTAGGTTTATTGAGAGTGCACGCTTAATTTTCATGCATGAATATGACGCTAGAATATAAGTGAGTTTCACCTAATAGTTATGAACTTATATTCACAAATAGTGGAGGTTGCTTATAAACAATCGCGTTAAATGAATTCTTGGCACTAGTTTCATGCTCATCATAGTAACAAATACCTCGTCAACACTTATAGTTTTCATGATGCTTAATGATCTTTGATTGTATCTTTATTGTGCTTTTCACGTAAAGGACTTTTGGAGAATGTTTTGAATTGCGATGCGCTAACCCATCCAATTCATTAACTTAAGGAGAACTTGACGGTTAATTTAAGCGGACCTAATTAACCCGAGGTGTTGATTTTCATAATTTATTGAAAGACCAACTGAAAATCATCTTGTATGCAAGTGCAACATGTGTGTAGAAGAACCTTCTAGTTAGCATTTCATCCATATTTTCATCACATTCATATTTACATTCTGCCCTTAATTACAATTTGTGCATTTAGTTTATTTTCGTCAAAACCTCAATCCCCCTTGACTTTAGTGTCCAATTTAGTTAGAAAGTGTCTTAGTTTGTGTTTCTAAGTGTTTTGATTCAAGTTATTACCCAAATTCGTCCAAATTCACCAAAGTGCTCAAAACTGCCCAGGGAGTGTTTTTAAGGCAGTTTTGAGTGTGTTGGTGCTATTTTGAGTCTTTTGATTTGTTTTAGTGTTTTTAAGTGTTTAGTTTTGCATTCTTTGAGTCTAGTTTAGTGTTTTAAATTTTATTTTACGTTTTTGAGTCAGTTTCCAAGTGATTTTGCAATCCCTCCTAATCCCCGGTTAAGAACGATCCCTACTTATACATATACTACAATTGTCACAAGAGGGTTTTAATTTGTGTGCTTATTTAGTTCGCATCAGAGGACTAGCAAAATCTAAGTTTGGGGGTATTTGTTGAGTGCATAAAGTTATCCTTTTACCCCGCTTTTACATAGGTTTTTTACTTCAAATATCTGTGCATCACGTGGTATTTTGTTGTTGTATTGTATTTCAAGATGAAAGTAAAGACTTGAAGAAATCATCTTATTTTGAATATCTTAAGAGCCTAGAATGGATAGTTTGAAGCCCTACTCACCCAAGACCATATCATAGCACACAAGTGGCCCAAGATCCACCAGAAAATGCCCTCCCAGAACAGCCGACTTGTGAGCTTCGCCCCGAAGTGCTTAGAGCGAATTTGAAAATGAGCCATATATGGTTGGAAAACCCTGTAAGTCGTCTTTCTCATGGTCTTTACAGCTTGTAATTCAGAGATTTCTAAAAGAAATTATGATAGAATCAAGAGGAGTTGTTCAGTTACAAATTCTCATAACATCTAGTTTTTAGTTACTCCTATACTAAAAGCTGGTTGTAATGAGCTGTAAATGAGAGTCAATTCAAGGATGTAAATGTATCAGATGTTAGATAACTCCTAAGCCTTTTAATAGGAGACAAATACACAACATGAGGAGAAAAGAGGAGAAAAAACAGAAAAACATAGAATCTGGAGAAAGCAAGAGTTTTTAGTCTTGAGCAGTTTTTAGGGTTTAGCCTTCCTAACTTTTTTATGTATCTTGTTTTGTTTTTAATTTAGAGTATGAATACTTAGGGCTGCTTTGGAGTCCTAGACATGATTGAATTAATGTTATGATGCAGTTTTAGCTTATCAATTTCATTTGCAAGCTAGAATCAGTTTTATGTCTTCAATTGTTTCAAGCATATATTTTCAAGCTTAGCTACCTTGTTTATGTTTGCTTTCTGTTGAGAATGATAAGGATACTGCCATATCTTCTTTCATTCATTAGCAACATGTGGTTGGGTTAAGAACTAATCATGTAAACTGATTTCATGAAAATCTAGGATAAATGCCATGTTCTAAGGTTCATGTGATGTTCGTAATCTTCTTCGTTCCTAATGAGTTTCTAGGTGCTAAATCAGAGTACATGCCATGCTAGATTGCACCTACTAATATAAGTTTGATGTATATGCCATGCATCTAATGTACAAAGAAAGTGAGGATTCATACAATTTAGTTATATGCCATGCTAGATCGATGAGCATCTAAGTTGTGCATTGAAATTGATAAGTTAAAAGATCATATCATCAATTCATGATTGTTTATGGGTAGGCCTTAGCTCATTTTAAGTCATAATTAATACCTAAAACATTTCTAACCTATTTCATGTCTTAGGTTGGTTTCTAGATAGTTCTAATTTTTCCCTTTTCTTTCTATCCTTGTTTCTTTGCCAAAACTTACTCAAAAACCCCATTCTAAGTCATAGGAGTCATTAACTAATGCTAATATGTACGACTCAAAGGTTTTACTAAGTTGTTTATTAGTCTTTGTGGGTTCGACCCTTACCAAGATTTAGGCTCTTTTGCTTAATCTAATGGCACAAATTCAAATGGACCAACGGCCCAGATTCATATTTGTTTTATTTTTATATTTATTATTTAATTGAATCCAACAGTTGATATCTAATATGATCAAATCCAACAGTATAAAAAAAGATTTAACGGCCCAAATTTAAATCCAATGGCTAAAATAATTTAAAAAAAAGTATTTAACTTAAAATTCACCCAAATTTAGTGATTTTTTAATATTTATTGGAATCTAAATATTTTTAGGTTAAAATGTTCATAAAATTAAATTAGGATAATGTACATATTTTCTTTTAAACATTTACTTAAAAAAAATTAGCCTAAATTTATTCTTTAATAACCTCGGGCTAAAAAAATTAACCTAGAAGGGTTGGAGGAGAAAAACTGTTTCTGGGTCAAAACCTAAATTTTCTGGATTTAAAAATTTTAGGTTTTACACTAAGGATTGGAGATGGTCTAAGGGAAGAAAGTAGTAAAAGGGAGCATTATATTTTTTTTAATTTATTTTTATATATAATCAGATGCCTTTTTGGTTGTGTTGGTGACTAGTGACTGAGATTTCCCAGAATAAATTTGAGGGTTTTGACTAGAGGGAGGGATGGTGTGAAAAGCAGAGAAAGGGGCAGGTGCAGGAATGTCCTTTTCTTTATGTGCTTTATGCAGTATCACACGCCCTCTTTCTCTAGTTTTGCTTGTTTTGGTTTAACGGGTCTTTCATGCCCCTTTTAGGCATTCCCCAATATATTTGTCCAAAGGGTCTTACTACACAAGCGGGATTGATTTTTTTTTTTTATTTAGTTGTGATACAGGTGACCTAAGACCAACTCCAACCCATGGACTAAAACCTATAATTTCTCTTTTATTTCCCCCCCCCCCTTAAATCCATCCCAACCCTAGTTCTAATTTGAACTTAACTTGAAAAAAAAAAAGGCCAGATTTCAGCCAGGTTTTAGCCCAGAAAATGGTGTAGGCCTCACCAGTAAAAGCTAAACTCGGCGCTTGAATGCCAGACGAAAGGTTGTGACGCGTGCAGGTGAGCGATGCGCCAAAAGGACAGATCAGTGTGGCCCCGCCCATGATAGGGTAGAGCTACAATGGGCTTAGGGGGGTGGATGCCCCCACTGAGAATTTTTTAATTTAAAAAATTTAATGCATTCCAATTCCCTATGAGTAATGCTAATTAAATAACTTTAAAAAAAATTGTCCTTTCTAATCAAACTGATCTGGTTCTGCTGCTCAGAGCTGGGTCATATATATATATATATATATATATATATTTTAAATCTAGGGCAAAACGACGTCGTTTTGTATATGTTTGAAAAAAAAAAAAAAAAAGTATGTATAGTGGGGGACCGCTCCTCCCCTACACCTCCCCCCCCCCCCCCCCCCCACAAAAAAAAATCCATCTCTATTCCTTTTTTTTTTTTTCTTGCCTTTGCCAATCAAAGAGCAGCGTGGTGCTACTCTACCCCCAAAATTCCAGCAGCTTGAAACGGAACGGAACAGGAGTAAAGCTGTTGTTCCCAGCCAGTGCGGTGCAGCCACGCCAGTCGCCAGCTACTCTCTAGCCAACATATATATATATATAAATATATATTTAGGTAAATTTTGTAATTCCTAAATCTATAATCCCTAACCCTAATTAATTATTTCTGACGAATTTTTGTTTAATTGGTATAGAATCATATGGTAATGCAGTAATATGGTTATTGGTTATTGATTATTGGTATGAATTCTATGATTATTGATGAGTGAAATTATAAAATTATTGTTTAGGGTAAAAATTATGAAATTATGACTAGTTGAATTATGAAATTATGAATTCATATATGATATATGAAATTATGAAATTATTGTTTCGTATATGAATTCTATGATTATTGATGAATGAAATTCTGAATACTATGAATATGGGTATACATTTATTTATACGACTAGTTGAATTAAATTTTTATTTATTGAATAATTTGTATGCTTATTGGTACTGGTTAATTGAATTGTTGGTTGGATTAGTTATTAGGCATAATAGTACAGTCTACTCTAGGATTAGGAGTCTAAGAATTTTATTGGTTGGATTTGTGTTACACAACTGCACAAGGTATTTTATTATATGATTTTACTTTATTAATTCATTTTTGGCATTACAATTTAAAATTTAGCTTTCTAATTTTGAGATTTTTATTCTATAAATTCTACAAATTACGTATGAACCTTATATCTTATTGGTATCAATATGACTGATTTTGCAGACTTGAACATCATGGAGAGGTTTTTCAAAAGAATATCAGCGTCGCCATCCCTAGTTATTGAGAAAAATAATGATACTCAGGGACAAGATAGTATAGCATTTATTTTATCAAATCTTCCATCAGATCTTGGTAAGCGAATTCGAATTTTGGATTACAATCCTAATATTCAAAGTACGAAGAGCGTATGTGCTAGCTAGTCCTCAACAACCTAAAACCCATAATTTTCCTTACAAGAAATATGGAGACACGTAAAAACGATTCAACCCTGCTTGGTTTGATGATTTTCTTACTTGGTTGGAATATAGTGTAGAAAAAGTTGCTGCCTTTTGTCTATGTTGCTACCTTTTTAAACCAAACATTGGAGAACAATCTAGTGGTGATTTCTTTGTTGGTGAAGGATTTTCTAGCTGGAAGAAGAAAGAAAGACTTATAACTTATATTGGAGGCATCAATAGTGCACACAATCAAGCATGGAGTAATTTTGAAACTTTAAGGAGTCAAAAGCAACATATCCAATCTTTTTTCACTAAAACTCATGATGAAGCTCGAATTCAATATAGAGCTCGGTTGAATGCATCAATCGATTGTTGTCGATTTCTTTTGAGACAAGAGCTTGTATTTCTTGGAAATGATGAATCTGAACATTCAAGCAACCATGGAAACTTTCTTGAGCTTCTACAGTTTCTTGCTGACCACAGTGAGGATGTGAAAGCCATTACTTTGAAAAATGCTCTAGAGAATCACAAATTGACATCACCAGATATTCAAAAAGACATTGTAAATGCTTGTGCAACTGAAACCATCAAGGCTATTATTAAAGACATTGGCACTTCGTTGTTCTCTATTTTGATTGACGAATCTCGCGACGCATCAACGAAGGAACAAATGGCTACTATTGTATTACATTATGTGGACAAGAATAGGAATGTTGTTGAGTGCTTTATTGGCATTGAGCATGTTACTGTAATGCTGCTCTTTCACTCAAGGAAACCATTGATGAGGTATTTTCTAGGTTTACATTGAGCATGTCTAGGTTGTGTGGACAAGGTTATATGGGGCCAACAATATGCAAGGTACGCTCAATGGTCTTAAAGCTCTTATTATGAAAGAAAGTGGTTATGTCACATCCTGGCCTGGGCCCCCACCACATCCCGGGCTCGACTTCATCGTAGCACGATATTGTCCGCTTTGGGCCCCGACCACACCCTCACGGTTTTGTTTCTAGGAACTCACATGAGAACTTCCTAGTGGGTCATCCATCATGGGATTGCTCTCGCGCGCTACTTGCTTTACTTCGGAGTTCCTACGGAACCCGAAGCCAGTGAGCTCCCAAAAGGCCTCGTGCTAGGTAGAGATAGGAATATACATATAAGGCTTACAGGATCCATTCCCATAGGCGATGTGGGATGTTACAATCCATCCCCCTTAGGGGCCCGATGTCCTCGTCGGCACACTTCCGGCCAGGGATTGGCTCTAATACCAAATTGTCATATCCCGGCCCGGGCCCCCACCGCATCCCGAGCTCGACACCACCATAGCATGATATTGTCCACTTTGGGCCCCGACCACGCCCTCACGGTTTTGTTTCTGAGAACTCACACGATAACTTCCTAATGGGTCACCCATCATGGGATTGCTCTCGGCGCTACTCGCTTAACTTCGGAGTTCTTATGGAACCCAAACCCAGTGAGCTTCCAAAAGGCCTCATGCGAGGTAGAGATAGGAATATACATATAAGCCTTGCAGGATCCATTCCCCTGAGCGATGTGGGATGTTACAGGTTGTGCCTATTATATTCATTGCTTTCACATCACCTTCAGTTAGCTCTTGTAGCTGTGGCAAAGAACATCCAAATTGAGTCTCTTTTTAGTATAGTTACTATTTTGGTAAATGTTGTTGGAGCTTCATCGAAGTGTTGTGATCTTCTTCAAGAGAAACAATCTACTGCAGTTATTGAAGCACTAAACAATGGTGAGTTTACAAGTGGGAAGGCAAAAATCAAGAAACTACTTTGAAACGTGCTGGAGGAACACGTTGGGGTTCTCACTTTGGTACTTTAGTAAGTATAATGACTCTGTTCTCATCCATACTTGATGTACTTGAAGTAATAACAGATGATGGAGTAAGGTCTCAAAAAATATGTGAAGCGAATAATTTATTGGATTCCATGCAATCATTTGATTCTGTGTTTAATCTACAGTTGATGAAAGATATACTAGGAATAACCAATGAATTATCACAAGCATTGCAAAGGAAGGATCAGGATATTATAAATGCCATGAAGTTGGTTGGAGTTTGTAAGCAAAGGTTGGAGATAATGAGGAAAAGTGGTTGGGATTCTTTACTTTGTGAAGTCTCTGAATTTTTTCTTAAACATGATATTGATGTGCCTAATATGGATGATATGTTTCTTTCTCGAAGGCGAGGGCAACGAAAAGCACAAGCAGTCACAAATATGCATCATTATTGTGTTGGGATATTTTATGTTGTTTTGGATTGGCAGCTAATCGTTTCAATGAGAACAACACTGAGTTACTTCTTTGTTTGGCATGTTTATGTCCAGCCGACTCCCTCTTTGTTTGGCATGTTTATTAGACCAACACTGAGTTACTTCTTAGTCTTGACCCACGTGGACATGTTAGCCACTTGCGTCAGATTCCAACGGCTAGTTTTTCAACCAACAGCTGAGATCAACTGGTCGTTGGTTGATTCAATGGCCTACATTCAAAAATTTTCTTGTTTTATATATATATTGAATCCAACCGCTGAGGTCGAATATAATCAAATCTAACGGTAAAAAAAAGATCCAAAGGCCCAAATTTAAATCCAATGGCTAAAAATTTTAAAAAATAATTTAACTCAAAATTCACCCAAAAACTATATAAATACACATGTATTTGTTCAAACATCCACACAAAACTCACTTTTCTTCTACAATTCTTCCAATTTTTCTTTCTACCCTTTTTTCCCATTTCCAAATTTTTCAAGATGGCAAAAGAGCATATTGGAGGTCGTAATTGGACCTTTGAGGAAGATGGTGCTTTATGCTTGGCATGGGTTTCTATTAGTGAAGATGGTGTCGTTGGCACAAATCAAAATAGAAAGGTTTTGTGGGGTAACATCGTTGATAAGTTTAATGAAAACTCCAACGCTGGTCGAAGGGAAGGTGGTGGTGTTTACGATCGATGGAAGGTTATCAACAAAGCATGCACTTTATGGAAGGGAAGCTTTGAGAGAGCTGTGGTTGACATGGCTAGTGGAAGGAGCGCCACAGAAGTTGTGAGTTTCTTTGTTGATATTTTATTTGTCATGTACATAATATTATTTTGCAACTAATTGTTTTTATGTATTTCTTGCATAGGGTGACAAAGCAATGGCACTTTACAAGACAAGAACTACACCAAAAAATCAAGCTTTTAAGTTGCATCATGCTTGGAACGTCCTCAAGGATTGTTCGAGGTGGGGAACCGATGCGGACCAACAATGGGGAAGATTATTTGGTAGTAAAGCCGCACAGACAAATGATGTCAATGAAGGTGTCGATTCGTTGACCCCAACTTCTTCTTTTGCAAGGCCCCTTGGGAAGAGATAAGCAAAAGGAAGCAAAGAGAAAAGAGAAGTTTGATGATAGGAGCATATTTATGTGACTTTGGTATCTTATTTCTTTGTATTTACTTAGTTAATTTCCGTTTATTATAGTGATTTAGTTTATTTTCGTATTATTGTAGGTTTAATTGGTGAAGATGACAATAATGGGCTAAATGGAGCATTTTGGAGCAGTTTTGGGCTTGGATTGGTTAGCATGCGTGTGGAGCATAATGGATGGACATTTTTGGAGTTTTACATGTGCTAAATATGTCCTACAATTTGGAGAATCAAATTTGGAAGCTTGGAAGATAAGGAATCAGCTGAAAAGAAGGAACCTTATCCAATCTTATCCAAACTAACCTTATCTAATCCTATCTTATCTCATCTTATCCAAACATTATCCTATTTAATCTAACATTATCTAAACTCATCTCCAGCTACAAAAGGAGTCTTTATCCTATCATATTAAACCACTTCTTATCTGATTTCTAGGAGTCCTAAAACAATGCTAAGAACTAATCCTTTTCCTCCATAAACAATGCCGTCTATCTGCCCTATAAATGCACACCCTTGCTGCAGAACTCAGGGGGAGAGTTTTAGAGAGAAAAATATAGAGAAATAAACAAAAATGTGCCGCAGCTTGCAAGGAAGGAGAGCTTGGAGCCATGCCTGCCATCCAAGGCCTTGGATTGCTAGAGCGTTTCTAGGTGTCTTCTGTCTTTAGTTTTTAGTTCAATGTTTGTTTTAATTTGGTTTTCAGTTATGATAGACATGTGGAACTAATTTCGTTTTAGCTAGAGGTGAATTCAAAGCCATGAACATATGTGTGATATGAATTGATTACATCCAATTATTGTTTCATAAATCATGAATGCAATTTACTTATCTATTTGATTGATAACTTATTCTTGTATGTTGATTAAGGAGGCCTACTTAGTTTATGATTTTCATAGAACTTAATGATCTTTGATATGTATCTCTATCATGCAATTCATATAGGGAACTAGTTAAGAATAATTTGATTGCGTTGCTGAGTCCAATTCAATGAATTTAGGAAAATTTGATGGTTAATTTGTGCAATTCATGGTTAACTTAGGGCATTGGCATTCATGGTTTATAGGAGTAATAACTGGAAATTGATTTGTATGCATATGGTTCATGTGTGGAGAAGAATCCTCTAGCTAGCCTTTTATCTCCTTCATTCACCCCAATTTAGTATCAATTAGTTTGTTTTCTACAAGTTACTTACTTCTAGTTTTAAAATTCGTTCAAACCAAACCCCGTTAGGATTTTGATTCAAGTTAAGTCTAGAATTCATCCAAATCACTCTTTAGTTCCTGTTTTGAGTCAATTTGTTTGTTTTGCGCTGTTTTGAGTTAGTCTGGTCAGTTTTGAGTCATTAGAGTCTAGTTTTGTGTTTTTAAGTTTAATTTGTGTTGATTAGCATCCCTTTTAATCCCCGGCCTAGAACAATCCCTACTTACGTATACTACAATTGTCTAAAAAGGGTTTAATTTGTGTGTTAGTTTTTACCACATCATTTGAAGATCCAATTAGTGCATGAATTTCTACCGAATTTGCAAGATTGACTTAAAGCAATAGCTCTCGGGAGGAAGAAGCATCCCAAATGCGTTTAGCCATTACGCACGAAGGGGATAAGAAGCAAGAAAGGTTCAAATGTAATTTCATGATGGAGGACCTCAACAAATACACTACATAGAGGAAGAAGTTCTTACGTGATAAGCAAAATGAAATTTTGAGAAGGCATGCCACAAGTAGTATATTTCAAGATGATGATTCATCTCAAGGCTATATCCCAAGTCCACCACCAAGTTAAGATGGTGGATATCACTATCAAGTTTATGTAGTTTATGAATTATTGATTGTATTAAGTTTATGTGGTTTATTAATTGTCATTTGTATTAAGTTAATGTAGTTTATTAATTGTCGTTTGTATTAAGTTTATGACTTATTAATTATCGTGTGTATTAAATTTATGGCTTATTAATTATTGTTTCTATTAATCTAGAGGTCTTCAATAATACTAGAAAATACCAACATAGTACAATTAAAATTATAACAGAAAATAACAACATAGCACACTTAAATTTAATACAAGAACACATTATCCATCATCAACGTTCTCCTTCCCGACGCCATATATGTTCAACCAAATCATTGTGGAGTGTGTCATGACCTTGAGGAGTTTGAATTCTATTTAAACGTCTCATATACTCACTCAGTGTGACCCTATCCTGTCAGGTCTCGTATGTGGTTGCAACGAGATATTCAACATCTCTTGCCATAGCTCTAGCATATGTTGGTTGGTCATCATCCACATCTTCGTCAGAATCTTCTTCAATTTCTACGTACTCATCTTCCACAATCATGTTGTGCAAAATTATGCAAGCCATCATGATTGAATGGAGGTCTTCCACATTTCATAATCGTGCAACCCCTCTAACAATGGCCTATCGAGCTTGTAGAATCCCGAACGCTCTCTCTACATCCTTCCTATAAGACTCTTATTTTTGCGAAAATAATTTCTTCTTCGCAGTATCTGGATGAGAATAACTTTTCACAAAGATAGACCAACTAGGATAAATACCATCAGTTAAGTAGTAACCTAGCTCGTGCCTGTTACCATTTACCTTGTACCTCCATATCGATGCCCATTCATTGACAACATCATCGAACAAAGAAGAAGACCAAAGAACGTTGATATCGTTGTTTGGTCTAGGAAGGTTGAAGAATGCATGCCAAATCCATGTGTCGTAAGAGCCACAACCTCGAGTAAGATGGTTTGCTTGTTGTGATGACCTTTGAATTGGCCAGCCCAAGCAGTAAGACAATTCTTCCACTCCCAATGCATACAATCAAGACTTCCTATCATGTTCTAGAAGCCTCTTTTGTCTGCCTTGTGTAAAAACCTCTTCAAGTCTTCAGGATTTGGCTTGCAGAGGTATATGGCTCCATATATAGCTTCCATTTCCTTACAAAAGCACTTGAAGCTCTCAATAGCAGTAGTCTTCGCAAGTCGACAATATTCATCAGTTGAGTCTGTAGAGCACCCATTAACTAGCATCCGAAATGCAGATATAAGCTTGAAGTGACAGACTCTGTCGGCTTACGACATCTATCTTCCTTGCAAAGTAGTGGTCATGATGGACAACTGCGTTCAAGATGCTTTCAAAAAGCTCTCTCCTCATCTAATACCTCCTCCGAAAATCATGAAGAGGATATCTCGGACGTTCGATGAAATAATCTTTCATCATCCGGTCATGATACTTTTCTCTATCATGCTGCAGAAATGAACGCCCTATGACAGAACCACGATAGCTAGATTCGGCATGGTGCTCATATTGCATAAGCGAGTTTGCAAATTCAGGTTCTTCGTTGTTCATTTTTGCATCTGCAGTCGCAAGGCTTGCTTGGTATTGTGTCATCTACATTGCCAAGCTACGTCTTCTTCTATCACCCATTGAAGAGATATTGATGATTTTGAGGAGGAGAAAAACACTTTGAAAGTTGGAAGATTGGTGAAAATATTGTGTGTTGGTTAGATATTCAACTTATGCTTATATAGAGGATGATTGAAGGTTTGTGTTTCATGTGTGTAGGTTTGTGTCTCATGCGTTTCATGTGTTTTGTATGTATTTGGTATGTGTTTCATGTGTGTCATGTGTTTCACATGTTTGGTGTGTTATATGATAGGAGCATATTCATGAGACTTAATTAGCTTGTTCTCGTGCATTTATGTTGTGTTTATTTAGCTATTTTAGTGTTTAAGGCCACTTTTGTGTATTTTCAGATTATAAGGCCAAAGTGTGCAAGAAGATGCAAATTGGAGTCTTTTGGAGCGAAAGAGGAACGAATGGGTTGAAGACTTGAAGAAACGACGAAATCCTACTCCAACGAT